TGTTAAACAGCACAGGTCCCAAATAATGGGTAACAGTGAGAACAGTGGGCTCTTATACATGTTTCTAGGCCAGCACAACCTTCCCCTTCCCACCCCACCCCCATGAATGTACCTGTCCCATTCTTTTCATTTTTGGCTGCAGCACTTGTCCGCTTTGGAGTCCGCTTTTGTTTTTTTGCTAGTGTTCCACTATTGCTCTCACTGGGTCTTTTTTGACCTAAATGAGAAGGGGGGGGAAAGACAAGATGCCTCAAATACTTCTGGTACTAACAAGCTCTTTTTATAAGCAACAAAGAAATTTCATACCAGCTGACAACACAAACAAGTAAATCGTAGCAGAGTAACACCAGACTTCAGAGGACTCCAGAAATCATGGATTTCACGGGAAATGCTCACCTTTCTCTCCGATCTCTCTCTCTTGCATGGCTAGACTACAATTGCTTGACATGGTACTGGCTTCAAATCCATTAGCGGACTCGCTTTCACACAGACCTTCCTGAGACTCCTCTGCCACGCTGTCGACTTCGATAGTCACGTCACTTTCGCTCTTGATACTGCGCGACTCATCCTGACTCAGCGCAAGAGGCGAGGCCGCTGCAAAGCTCGACGGGGCGGTGGGGGCTAAGGCAGACGGATTTGAGTTTGAAGCGTTAGGGTCTGGCTTCTCTGATCCTGTATCTTCACTGCTGCTCTTCTCCTTTTCATCCAAGTCATCCAAGTCTACTTCATGGCAGAACAAAGTTTCGGGGCCAATCTGAGGCATTGCATCATCCTCCTCTTTTACGGGAACGCTCTCGCTTTCTTCAGATGGATGTTCGAAGTGCTCACTCCTCAGCTCCTGCCCATGCTGGACCGACTCTGCCACCAGGGATGGCATTTCCTCATTTTCAGCTCTGAGGGACTCGTCAGCATTCAGCCCTCGACATTCCTCCGCGCCGGTACATTCACTGCTCCTCTCTTCGGATACGATATTTGGCACTTCCACCTCACTCTCTCGACGATTTCTCTTCTCGGGTGATGCCTGTTCCAAGATTTTCCTTTTCAAAAGCTTCTTATCTTTTGCAGAAGGCTCTGTTTCACTTTCCGGAGTGCTGGCAATTTCTTTACAGTCCAAGGAAGACATGTCTAATCTTTCAGGTTCTGTAAGAGATTCATTTGCCACCTCTTCTTGGCTTCCTGGTGAAATCTTCGCATTGTCTGAAGAGGGATCTTTTGTCTTGCTCCTTCGCCCTTTTCCTTTCAGTGATTTTTCAGCCTCTCTTTTGATTTCTTCTATTTGTTCTGTTTTATTTCCAAAAATCTGAACAATTTGTTCGCTTTCTTCAACTTCCAGTTTCAGTGTTTCTAATGGCTGCACTTGAGTCCTGTCATTTTCTTTCAGTGCCTGAGGAATCTTTGGGTTTTCTTCATCTAGCTTCTCATCATGCAGTTTTTCACCCTTTTCCAGTTCGGAAGTTTCTGGAGAAAATTCTTCGTTCAAATTCTTTTCAGATGATTCATCTGCTTCACTGTCAGATGAGCCAGAGTCTGCAAAGAGGTTTTTTTTAAAAAAAGAAGGAAACAGCACCCTTAAATCATCAATTCCAGCACAATTTCTTTTTCCAACCACACAAAACCTTCCCCCCCACCCGTCCAGTAATCTACAGTATTAACATCAGTTTACAATAAACCATTTCAAACTTCAAAATTCTGTATTATTCAACACCCTTATTACACTTGTTATTTCTTCCTCAAAATTGGTATGAAACCACAATAGTAGTAGTACTTTCGCTACCTCCCAAATAAACCAATATAAGCAAATTACAGTTTATAGTAGCAAAAACACTCATCTAGATTCCCATGATGTACCTGGGGATAATGCCTCCCCCACCTGACATTACGAAAACAAAACCCCAGCCTCCTCCCTTCCATGCACCCCCAAAACAGGAAAAAACAACCCCTTCCACACCACAATATGGACATTTCATTGCTAAACTATTGTACGAATCACGCACCACATACAGAGCAAGCATCGTTACGTTACCAGAAGATTATGCAGGGACCTGTGCTAAAAGGAGACAGTGATTTCACTTCAGTTCTTGGTCACAGAGGCTTAGAAATACCAAAAATACCGCTGTCATTTGTATGTAATTAACAGCTCTGCTGGATGATGGAGAACTGAGGGTGAGGACTTAATTACCACAATGAAGACTGTCATTATACCACTAGATTCGGTCTGTTCAGGATTAGGACTGAAAGACTTTGGCTAAAGAATCTGGAATGACTCCCATGCCATAGCTCTTCTGTGAGCAAACTGTGCTCCTCAGCAGCGTCAGCTCAACTACTTCCTCAGTAGAATTCACCAGGAGAAAAAAAAAAAATAAAGTAGTAAAAAATGAAAATCAAACCTCTTCTCAAAAAGGTACTCAAAAGACCCCTGAAAAGCATACGTGGGACTGAGATCACTCACCGTTTGATCCTCTATCAGAACCAAACATTCCTGAGCTACGTCTCAGGAGCTGCGAGGCGTTGCTAAAATCAAAATCGGAAGTATTAATTTTTGTAGCGCAAAATCTGCGCCAACACCCGTGTTTTGTCATCCTGCTTTGTTGGCTGACTGGTTAAGTGGGCCTTTCAAGCTGCTGAAAGCACCGTGCTCGCTGAAGCTGTCACGCTAACGCACCGCGTGACGGCACTGTTTACATGCGCTCCCAGGCCAGAACACGAGTGCGCCGGATGTACCTTCTGTTCCATTTGGTAATGGTGAGGAATCTGACAAGTTGTTCCGTGCACCTCTGGCTCCCGATTTACCTTCACTATTGGGCGTTTTGGATAAACTGCAAGACGTGTTTGATGGAAGAGTAGATTTCAGAGGGGGTCGCCCACGCTTTGATTTTTGCCTCTCCTCATCCTTCCTCTCATCCTTCTCACCATCTTCTTTATTCTGAGGGGAAAACAGTGAGGTTTTAGTAAAAAGTTTCACTGCTCACTGTTAAACTTTTTCTCTTTTTGCTTTACACTTGACTGTGGACTGAGCAACTTGTTATTTTTTTTAAAATAAGGAACAGTGATAATCAGGAAGTATTGTACTGTAAGAAACTTAGTGAAAAAAAAACATTACTTTTGTTTTTTTCTTCTGTTTTCTCTTTGGTCCTCCTTTGTCCACAGGCCAGATAATGCGATCAGCTTTCACCCACTCATCGTATCTAAAAGTAAACAACAGCACACTGTTTCTACTGCATATCAAGAAGCTTTTGCAATATGAGGAGTAAAAGACTGAGTTACAGGAAATATTTATCAAGGAGAGGTAGGAGAGCAGAGCCCACGTTACAAATGCATGCAGTACCTGGCGTTAGAAAGATGAACTACATTCCTAGCCCACAGAAAGATTTATGGGATGGGGGAAATGGAGAGGCAAACCTCCCAGTCTCCTGCTAGCAAAGCACTGGAACTCTGGGGAGTGTCTCAGCTGTAAAGTCTGTCAATTATTTCACATCAGGTACAAAAGGCGGTTTTCACCACACCATGCCTCAACAGTAAAATATACTCTTTTTAAAAGGCTTTTAGATTAGAGCATCAAACTGGTTGAGATTATGAAAAAAACACCAGTAGTTCTCAAAATCTTCTGAGTTATTGATAAGGTAAAAGGACACATGTAAGTACTGAGGGATACCCCCCAACCCCAAACTTTATGTTGGCACATAGAGAAATTTGCTTAGTTTACTCAGAAATGTATGGATTTGGAACATCTCAAGAAGTGTTCCATTTTTAAAAATGATCGATTTTGTGGTCTTTTGGTCTATCACAATGCCTTGAAGAGCAACAACAAAAAAGCCATTTCTGCAGAATTATTGAATATAAAGCAGGGCTGCCAAGAGCAGCCTGTGATGACTTCTCTGTCGCCCTTTGCTGCTCAGCCCTCTCTACACGTAACAGCAGTTCTGCATAATCCAACATCCAAAACAAAAGTAATTGTCTTGCCAAAATTCCAGTGCTTGGTACGCTTCACTGTGGACGCCTTCACCATTACCAGCGAATCCTTTTACACCAAGGCTGATAGTGGTAACCCGAGCTGACGCAGCCAGCGGCAGGGATACTCCTCTGAGGAGCGAGGATCACTCGCTCTAGGCCGATGGAAACTTGGAAACATAGGAGGAAGTATATGCTGAGACATCAGTGCAACCGTGTCCTGCCATGGACAAAATCACTAACACTGAGAAGTGAAACAGAGTCACATCCTCTCATTATGTTGATAATTCAATTCAGAGCCAAGTCACTGATCTTTTTTTCTTAATAATAAAAATTCTTCTGCAAATAATCTTTTCAAGAAAGAAATTAAAGGCAATTTGTTATCCTCACCTTACATTCCACCCATAGTAATGAACTAAATATAAAACTTCTCCATCATCAATTTCTGTGCTTTTAATACTAGCTTCATAAATTTTTTGAGTCTTTCCACGTCCGTATTTTACTTTCACTTTGGTTCCAGTCAGGCAGGGTTCTGCATCCTCCTCATCCTCTTCACCTTCCGATTCTCCCTTGTTCTCAATTTCCTCCCTGCAGTAAAGAGTATTTAAAATGCCCGCTAATTAGTGACAATCAAAGTTTCAACATTTAACTACAGCAGCCAAGCTACTGCAAAAGAAAAAGGCTGCCAGAAAAAACGTTCTCGTTTTCTGTGCCCTGCACTGCCTCTAGGCTGGAGAACGGCTTTTTAAACCAAGAGCAGGACTCAGGGAGAACAAGGGTAGGTACCAGAGAGATCCAGAAAAAATTGTTATATTTTAAACGCAATTTATTAACTGTGAAACAACCTCAAAGCTTAAAGATTTTTTTTTAATGAGTATTTTGATAATAGAAGAAGAGGAGTAAGTTGACTCACTGTTTGGCTCCTAAATAATCCAGGAAGAACTAACTTCAGTTTTTAAAACAGACTTGATTTTGACACACTATTAAAAGATTAATAATAAAAAAAAAAATATTTCTTCTGTAGTTTGCCTAATAGGCTACAGTTCACTAACAGTGCACAACAGTTTGAATGGCTGTAACCGTGAACCTCCCACAGGCACGAATACCATTCCACTGAAACTAACTTGATTAGAACACTGTTTAACCAAGATGAAAAGTGCTTACACAGCTCTTACTACCTGCATCTACCTGTTACTACACCTGTGTCTAATACTGAAGCATTCCACTTCAGCATATTTTCAAGAACTGCAATCTAACCTATTCTAATCTACACTTGTCTCCCTATTTCAGGATGAATTTAGCATAATGTAGAAGTGAAACTTCCAAAAGTAACCAAGAAAGAAACTACTGAAAAAGATTATGATTTCCTATGATAGCCTCTCCGATGATGAAAGGCTGAGAGAGTTGGGCTTGTTCAGCCTGGAGAAGGGAAGGCTCCGGGGAGACCTCACTGCACCTTCCAGTGCCTGAAGGGGCTACAAGGAAGCTGGGGGGGACTTTTTACAAGGGCAGGGAGTGACAGGACAAGGGGTAACAGGTTTAAATTGAAAGTGGGGAGGTTTAGATTGGATATCAGGAAGAAGTTCTTCCCGCAGAGGGTGGGGAGGCACTGGGACAGGTTGCCCAGAGAAGCTGTGGATGCCCCATCCCTGGAAGTGTCCAAGGCCAGGCTGGATGAGGCTTGGAGCAACCTGGTCTAGTGGAAGGTGTCCCTGCCCATGGCAGGGGGATTGGAACTAGATGGTCTTTAAGGTCCCTTCCAACCCAAACCAGTGTGTGATTCAGTGATTATGGGCTGCTTTTAATGAAATATATTTGCTAGTTCATCTCCCACTGAAGTCTATCTTCTTGTGGCAAACAATTAAAAGAGAGAGGACAAGCACCATCAGCACCACCTAAAGAAACCTCTTTGATGCCTTAGTCGTCTGACACACCCCTGCAACCTGCTGCACCCCCACACTGCGCCTCCACTTGAGGCCTTCCTGCACTGCAATGGGATTTTTTGGACTGCGCAATGACGCTTTCGTTAAAGTAACTGTGTGTTTTTCCCACTCTAGCAGATAATGTGCAATACCCCTCTCTCAGGCTTTATTCAGTATCTACCTGTGTCCACATCACTTAGCCATATGGACAAGAAAAACAGGTAGGAAAGCCAGCATAAACAGGCAAGACACTACCCTTGACCACAGCCAAAGTTAGCTAAGAAGAGCTCTGCTTTGGTAATTAGTCACCTGCTCACAACCCACTTGTCACCAGGGCTACAAATGCAATTCAACTGGGTCAAGCTTAGTCTCTGCAGGCTGTTTTCCCTCTGCCCTTCCATGTCTCTCCATGCCCTCTTCTTCAACCTACCTCTAGATTTCATTCAAACTCCTTCTCCTTGGCCTTATTAGCTGGTCCCCTTCCTGCTTGCCTCATCGAGTATCAATAAAAACCAAGCTGTAGGCTCATCAGCCATCACGAAGCACTTAAACAAAAGCACGGGAGAAGAGGGGCTCTCTTCTCCCTTCATATGTCAACTGCCCAGAACAATCTGCCCCAACAGTTGCTCATGCACCCAGCACCTGGCATACTTACAGCCTGGTCTACTTGGTGTCTGTACGTACCAGTGTGATAAACACCAATACAACCTTGCCCAGACCTTTGAGAGAATGAAAGTGAAAAATACTGTCTGGCATTTACCAGAAAAAGATGCTTCCATCAAGTTCAGCAGACTACGAGCCTGAAATAAAGTTTTCCCTTTCCTGTCTGGCTGAGTGAATTAGGTCCCTGATTTCTGGTTGGCAAGACCTCCAATTCTATGTATACTCCTGCTCGGAGTGTGGCCCAATCCTGCCACAGACTGACTTGTAAGAAGGTGATACAAGTTAATGTTTACCTCTCCCTCTGCCTCCCTTCCTCTTCATCTGACTCTTTATCAGAATCCTCCTGTTTTTTCATTTTTTTCTCTTTTTGCTTTGGTGTAGTTTTCCTCCCAAGTGGAGTTCCGTTTTCTTTCTTTTCTGCATTCTCAGGTGCTTCCTCTATATCTTTGTTTTCTTTGTTACTGTCTTTTAATTTTTCTTGTGTTTTTTCCTCTTCACTATCTTTTTTAGCAGGTGTTGTGTCACGGGCAAGCCTTCTTCGTCCCTAGAACACAAATAAGATCAGTTTAACGACTCCTGTTGACTGTTCTCTAGAATACAGCCTCTCCAAGTCTCAGCTAAAAGCAAAACATACTATTCCTGTACAGAAGGGCTGGAGATAATACCATAAAACAAAACATGCAAAAAAAAAATCTTAAGATAGTAAGTTAAAGTCTTGTTATCGAGGTAAAAAGCAAAATAAAGCCGTGCTGCTTGGTGTGGAATGAAGAGGACGAGCTTCTGATTAACTTCTGGAGGATTTCAGCAGGTCTGTTTGGATGAGTAAGGTCTGTTGCCCTGACAGGACCAAAAACGCTTTGCTCAACTACAGCAACAGCGTTAAAGTGCTTGTATAGGACTACTGGGGAAGGCATCGTCTCTACCTTCAGTCCTGACAGCCACCTGTTGATTCTGCAGAACAGCAGTTTGTCTCCACTAGAAAAACAGTTAAGCACAGCTTTTTTAAAATGGTACTTTGAGTAGCTGGATAATTGCTGTCTGGGACTATCTGTAACTGGCTCTTGGGCATCTAGTACAGGTTTATCATTCTACTATTAAAAGTGTCTTGATAGCATCATTGCTTTGTAATCAGAACGTTGAAAATAAATTATGAATGCAAGACCCATTATCTGGAGGCCATCCAAAGATGACAGTAATGAAGGCACTATAATCACATTTCACAGGAGTATAATGGTAAATACTTTGGGAAACTAATCATTCATCAATAGGTACCTGGTGACTGGATTCATAAAGTAATAAAATACATAACCAAATAATAGTTAATTATTAACAAATTAACATAAAGAGTCAATGATAAAACAGGAAAAAAAAAATCTTCTCATGTCTTTTCCCAGGGCCATATGCGTGCCCGAGAAGCTAGTTTGCAAGAAGTAGTTCATCAGAATTACATTTTAGCCAAACAAAATCCTTACAACTTCAAGAATTTAAAAAGTTGTCATTCCCTGCCCTTCAGTAATCATGCTCTATTAAGGAATACAAATGTCCTTTGATCAGAATTAGCAGGAGGGCTACAGTCATATTCAACTACCTTAACAGTATTCTGGTGTTCCACATCAGGTTCAGTATCCACTAGCTGATGGGCCACTGGTCTTATCTATGCAGCTACTAATACAACCTGCACCTCTACAGCATTCAAAGACAAAGGAAGACAAAACTTAAGTGTGCCCCCACCTCTTTTGTCTACATACTGTAAAACTGCAGTGTTTCTTTTAATAAAAGATGAGATATTGTGATAAAAACCAATTCAGATGAATGGGTCTTCCTTTGTGAGGGTGACAGAGCCCTGGAACAGGCTGCCCAGAGAGGGGGTGGAGTCTCCTTCTCTGGAGACTTTCCAAAGCCACCTGGACTTGTTCCTGTGTGATCTGCTCTAGGTGATTCTCCTCTGGCAGGGGGGTTGGACTAGATGATCTCTAGAGGTCCCTTCCAACCCCGACCACTACGTGACTGTGATACTTAAAGCTGTAGCGGTCCCTTGATACTCCTGTTTCTTGCCAGAAAGCTCCAGATTCCATGTGTCTGCGGAAATCCGCACCCACCAGCAAGACTGTCCTGCTGAGTTTCACTGTGCTGGTGATACACAGCTCCCAGCAGCTCCCAAGCCATCCATGAATCGAGACATATCTCCCATCCAACAAAGCCTGAGCACATCCCATGGGTGGTTTAGCATATGAAGGAACAACCAAAACTGGTCCTATTCACAGGCAGAACATAATTAGCAGTAAACACCAACTCTGAGTTCACAAAACCCTGTCCTACCTTGTACAAGTACAATCACTCGGCAAGGAAAAACTCATTATGCGAACGGCTCGCGATACAAAGGGGTTTTGTTAAGCACTAAACAGAAATCAGTTCAAACCACTTACCCTTGGGGATCTCAGTTCTATTTCTTCTTTTTCACTTTCACTGCTAGAATAGTTTTCTTCCACTTCTTTAACTTCTGTTGGGGGCATTTTTGGTTCCTCTTTTACACTTTCCTCCATTGGTTCCTCGTGTTTCTGTATGTCTTCTACCACTTTTGGCTCATTGTGATGGATGGTCCGAAACTGAATGTTTGCAGAACGGCAGTACTCTTCAAAACCATAAAGATACCTACAGATACAAATGAAGTCTCATTTATATTTCCTGGTTTATTTTCTATTTACTGAAGTGCATAAACCCTATTATCCTGCTCAAAAAAAAAGGCAAGGAGAAGCAGTAGCAAGGAGAAGCAGTAACTTCAGGGATAAGGAGAAAAAAAACCAACCCAAAACAAACCCAAGTGAACAAAAAATAAAAAACCAGGGGAGCTTTTGAAGCGAAACAGCTATGCACACAAGTCAATGGTGAGAAAGAACACACATACAGGTGCTCCCCAGCAATGTAACTTTGTCCCCATCCAAGTAAGAGTTCATGACAGTAAAGCCCAAGAACACGTACAGTGTTACGCAAACGCCAATGACAGCGAAAAGCAGCCGACTGTTAGAACACGGGCACACTAGCAATTACCAGGCAGTAACAAACCACCATGCATCAGCTTGTTCTCTGGTAACTGCCTGTGTGCACACTCTAATCCAGTGACAGATGAGAGAATTAGGAACTAGCTTACACCTCAAAGAATAAATACGCAAGTTACAACATCCTACCACATGTCCATACAACATCATTATTTCCACTGTAAAAGCCACCTAGGACATATTTACCAATTACTCTTTTTATGATAAACACTCTCCTCCGTAGAACACAGACCTTAAAATATGTGCCCAGTTCAAATCCCACTGAAGACAGTCTGAACATTTTCATCTTCATCAACATTACCATGAGTTGAGTCATTAGTCATCCCTATTCATTCAGCCGAATTTCCTTAGGTTTGAGTCAAGAGAACCTCATTCTTCCCTTTTACTCAAAAAGCCCAACTGTTTCTTGTCAAACTTCCAGGAGAATAAATAATAAAAACAATCTTTATTTAGAAAATGAGCTCGAAAAGTGTAATTCCTAAAAGGTCTCCATTTCAAAAGATAAAACACAACTGAAAATACAGGCGTTAGAATAAAAAGATTTACCTTTTCTTTTTTTTGTTTTTAATACACGCAGTGATTTTTACTACTTAACACTGCCACATCCACCACAGCATGCACATAGTTACGCCCTAAAGCCATTATTCTACAGGTTCCACACAGATGACATTTAAACAGGCAATCTGAAACATGTCTGTCTATATCAACATTTTTCAGGAAGGTAAAGAAACGGGTATAAAATTCTCCTCACTGCACTCAGCACCTACAGGCTGAGGACAGAATCCATCCTTGTCAATCACCACAAACTGCAAAGCTGAATTTGCCAACACTTTTTTTATGAACATCATCGTTGTGCTCTGAAATGGCATCATCACCTGCTGAAAGCGAATGCTTCTTGCTAAGACAGTGAGCGGAATGCTAATGGTCAGAACAACAGAAACTTAGGCAGCCCTGAGCACTCCCTCCCTTTACGCCACCATTTCAATCCTCAGCACTGGAAAATGCTCAGAACGGCTTGTTAGCTGAAGAACGCTAAATGCTCTTTCAGTAAACTCTCAAAAATTGCTCAAATATCGTACATGCTACTTAAGGGAAAAAAAAAAGGAAGAAGCATTTTTGCCATGATACAGTACGAGAACTTACTTTCTATAAGCGGTTTTTACATTGTAGGAAGCAGCCGAGTTCAAAATAGGAATGCCAAGGTCCATATAAATTTGCTTCCATACAGCACCACTCTCAATCTTTGTGGGGAAGAAGAAAAAAAGGAAAAATGACATCTACCACAGCCCCAAGCCACAACGTTTAAGAATGACTAGACATATTTAGTCCAGAAAGCATCCAACACTTACGCTGTCACATCCACCCTGCTGATACACCAGTCTAAAAAGTTTGAAGAGATTAAGGTCCTTGTAGCCCAGAACAGGTGGTTTATTGATAGGAGTACCTACACAAAACCAAACCAGAAGTTAGTTATCATACAGAACAGCAAACTGCTTCTTCCATGCCTTTAGCACATGTCTGATTACCAGTATCTTTCTACACTTTAAAGTCTGTATTTAATAGTTCTAGTATATGTCACAAGTCAGTAGTTTCCAACCACCAATGAAGGCTTCACCCTCGTTTGAACGCATCCCGTATTTCTGGGTGGTTTATTAGCATACTGGCACCAGCTGCTTGATAACTACAATTCCTCGACCTCCTTTTCTGATTTGTGCCCATCCAACTGGCTGCATCCCATTGTTCCTCTTCTGAGCCAGGGGACAGCCAGAAGTGCAGCAAGCTCTACAGAACGCCTGATGGACGCTGGAGTACAGCAACGTGCGAAGAGATTAACTCACAACGCTGTGGTCTGAAAGCGGTGGGGAAGAAGCAGCAGCAATGTTGGATTAGGAGGGAAAAAAAAAAAAAGAAAACCAACCAACCAACCACAAACAAACAAAAAAACACACACACCCCCCCAAAAAAAAAAACCCACAGGCAAATTGTCAGAATGTGAAACAGCACAAAGACCTAACAGGACAGGAATATTTGGGACAGTTCTGGGGAAAAAGAAAGAACTCAAATTGGATCACTGATAATGACACAGAGAACAATAATTAATTGCAAAAGGAGAAAGCAGAAGTGACTTGGGGCAAGTGGCTGCATTATGTAGTCAGTATTCCTCCCAGCAAGGAAGAGTATCAAACTTCTCCCCTGCTGCTTCTCATCTTCCTTCATCTCCGTGCAATTATATTTGGAATAATGAAAATCATTTTACAGGACTTTGGCCATACTGTCATGACTACACAAACCAAAACATTCAGACTGAGAGAACAGAATGTAGAACAAACCTGGTGGGAACACAAATTTTGCTGTAAGAACAGGGCTGGGGCGG